TTCTGCCAGCACAGCGTGGAAGCGGTCAAAGCTTGCTGTCCACCTAGGGCAAGGGACCTTGAGCAGTCTCTGAGGGGTTTGGGGGTATCACCTAGGTGGAAGCCCCGCAGCAAGGAGGAAAGCATCAGAAACTACAACAGCACTTAGCCCTTAGACCTCACGCCCTATACCCTTGCAAGGTAAGCCTCAGAACTGCACCTGGACATACCTCAGCTGGCTCCAGGGTCGATGGTTTGGGATCTACTGGGGTTCCTGTTGAGGAACTTTAATTTACTATAACAAGGAAGCCCATTATTTTTTTGAGAACCATACTATGGTAACTTGATTTAAGCTCCAGTTTAGGGGTGTCTGTGAGAAGGTTTTGCTGATCGCTATAACCTCGCATGGTAGCTTCCATGAACTCCGGATATACTTCATGGCCTCAAACAGCATGGTTATTCTTCTCGAAGAACAGACTTCAAGGGACCAAGAGATTTAGGAACTTGGCATCTGAAAGCTTGGTTCACGTGAAGGTGTTCCCCAAACCTTGAACGCAAAAGTCTGGAACGCTTCTGACATCAATCTTACAAGGCCACAGTGCAGCTGCCCTCATCATTTAAAGCCTTTACGAAAGCTGAGTCAAATACTTCACACTCTCAGAAGCAGGGCTTTGGGGCTTATGATCTCGAAAGACAAAACTCAATACCTTTGCAACTCTAAAGCCTATAAACCTAAGCTCCAAAGCCTCAACCCCAAACTTCAACCCCAAAGCACAAACCCTAGACCCTAAAATTTAGGGTTTGGGGTCTTGGGTTTGGGGTTCAGTCCCAAAATTACAAGCCTTAACAAAGCCTCAGGTGCTCGTCCCTCTCCTCACAGGCATCTGAGGCTGGACTATCCAGGGGCAAAGGCGGCGGAAAAGGTGCATCCATGGAGGCCAGGAACGCATCCTCGGTTTTGGGTGGTTGTCAAAATTATGGTCCTTTTTTGGACCCCTATTATAGAACGGCACCTAATATTTAGGGTACCCAAAAAGGGACCATAATTTTGATAACCACCCTTTTGGGGTTTGCTTTCTAAAGCCATGAAAATACGATGGTACTTGCATGTCATTGAGGGTGTGGGCTGTAGGGGTCAGAGTCATCTTATGGATGATTAGCAAGAAATGAGGCAACCAGATAAAACGGGATCATTATAATCTTGATTTCACAAAAATGATGATATAGATCCATTCCTCCCTTCCCTACAACTCTAGACCGACTCCATCCGTTGGGAAAAGCTGGTGTGGAAAAGGTTGAAGGCTTTCTGGCTGGCGCCTGCATGGCGAAACCACCCCCTAAGCCCCAAACCATAGACCCTAAGTCAACCTCCCCCACTAAAAAAAATTGTAAACCTAGTCCAAGCCTCAGAAAACATGGGTCAACAGCAGACCCAAAATGACGTTATCAAAATTAAAAACCTCCGACAACAACCCTCAAGCTCAAACCCAAACCCTAAACCATGTGGGTGGTTGTCAAAACTATTGGCCCTTTTTTGATCCCTATTATAATACGGCACCTAATATTTAGGGTACCCAAGAAGGGACCATAATTTTGACAACCACCCAAATATGACCCCAATATACTATAGTAGTTTCCATTTTCTTTTCCATTATCCCCCATATAACCCCAATATAACCCTAATATAACCCTAATGGGGACCATAATTTTGACAACCACCCATGGTACAGACGGGCATCTGGTGCCTGGAACTCAACAGCCAGATCTCTGGCTGTCCTGTTTCGGGAGTTTCGCATGTCCACCTCAAAACGAATTTAGAGGCTCACGGTTTAGGGTTTAGGGTTTCGGGTTTAGGGTTTAGTTTACCGGGTTGTCGGAAACTTAAGGTAAGTTACCATAATATGGGTATAGAGTGGATAATTGGGTTTCCTTATAATCGTATTTAGGGTGGCTTACAGTATGGAGGTATTCAGGGCAGGGTGGAGAGTTTACAGGGATTAAGGATCCTGGGGTATGTAAAATCTGGATGGAGGCATTGAGAGCCTACGGTTTACGGGGCTGCGTAAGGCAGAGTCGACATTGCCCTTTACTACACTTAGTGAAACCATAGAAACAACAGAAGCCATTTAGAGGCGGCCGGGTATATTTGGGTAGAAAGGGAACACTGCACATGTTTTGGGCGAGGTTCTCGACACATGTCTAGGATTCGGGGCTGTGGGTGCCTTCCTTGGGGTGGAATGTGTTTGTTTGAGAAAATACTTGATGGGACCTACGCAATAGGACCCTACTGTGGGGAGGATACAGTGAACCCAAATGAGGTGTTCATTTTTGCACAGACTCCCCACACAAGCACACGACCTGAAAAGTCAGTGGCTTGTTGTAAAACCTTTCAAAAAAATGGCACAAGGGTCTTGGGTTTTCATAAAATTTAAAGTTTAGGGGTTTTAAGTTTGGGGATTCAAGGGTTTTAGGGTTTAGGGCTTGCCTCTCGCCTTGCTCCAATCCTAGACGCTGAATAGCACTCCCCTATTGCAAACGCTCTACTTACATCTTAAGGTCGTAGACCCTCATCCCTAAACCCCAAACCGAGACTCTGGACCCCGAACCCTAAAGCCAACATACACTACACCCCTACCCCCCCTACTCTTCATTGCCTACTTGGACCACAGAAGTGTGTATATAGAATTGCAGACTTGTTGACTCCTGTTCATGGCCTTGGGCTGTTGTTTTACCTACTCATCCAGGTATACCCTGATCCCCTAATCCGCAACCCTAAACCCTGAACTCTACTCCCTATACCCCTAAGCCCCTCAATCCCTAAATCCCTAAATCCCTAAATCCCTAAATCCCTAAATCCCTAGACCTATACCTTCTACCCCTAAATCCCTAAATCCTGAACCCTATTCCCTTTTAGCCTGAGTCTTGTTGAAAGCCTTGTGACCTGAGCCCCGTGAGCCAGGAGTGCGGCAGCGCCCTCATAGTTGGCCTAAGGTGGGCTTATAATCTAGGGTTCAGGGTTTAGGGATTAGGGTTTAGGGTTTATGATCTAGGGTCCAAGGTGGTAAGAGTGTTTATTTTTTTGTTGTCTGGTCTTTTTTGTTGTTTGTGCTTTTCGGTTGTTGTATTTTTTGCTGTTTGGGCGGGGGCGTGTTTTATTTTTCGCTGTTTGGGCAGTGGCGCGGGCCCCGCCCAAAAAGCAAAAAAATGAACACGCCCCCGCCCAAACAGCAAAAAATAAACACGCCCCCGCCCCTTCCGAGCGTGTTTGTTTTTTTTTGCTGTTTGGGCGGGGGAGGGGGGGTGGTGGGCTTTGTTTTTTTGCTGTTTGGACAGGGGTTGTGTGTGTGTGTGTGTGTTT